TAGTCGTGAGTTGAGAGTTGGCGTTTCGTGAAAAAGTGCGCAGGGGGTGCGCAACAAAGATTTGCGCTGAAAAGGGGGCAGCATGCACGCGCGGGCGTAAAACGGGATCGTAAAACGCGGCGTGCCGAGTTTGCAGACGTTCGCAGTGAGGAGAATCTTGATTTCAAATTAGGTTCGCCCACAAACGAATGTGAGCGATGTGCGAAATGCGATGAAATGAAATGGAATTGCGCAGAGGCGCTGCTGGTGGCTTTAAAAAACAAAACAACGTGTGGGAAGCAAACAGTATTAAACTAACAAGGGTGGCGCTTGCCGTACTCAGATTCGAAAAAATAATAATATCGTATTGTGGTCGTCGTCTTCGAGTGGCGTGTGACAGATTGTTCGTGTTTATAAAATTTAAAATTCAATTTTATTATTTAGGGTTGTCAGTCAAGTGTTTGCATTCATCACAATCAAATTCAATTTTAAAATTATTCATATTATTATTTTTACTCATGTTTTACATTTAATAATTTTTTTATAATTTAATAAAAATTTTTTTAACGTAAGATATTTTTTCATTATTGACAGATTGAGTTCATTTATATTTCTCATATAACCGTTTGAAAATTTCTATTATCATTGCAATCATTTATCTTAACCTTGCCAAACAAATAAAACCAATACAATGAAGCCTGTCACACCGCGAAGGGCGCGCTGTTACTGGTAGAACGGGAAACACAAACGCAAAGGGATGACACCTTCCTCCGTGTTGTTTTGAACATCCCCTCACAATTTTACCCCAAATACAACATACCGTCTGTATTTACAATTCGCGTATTCTCTTCTTTTTTTATTAGAGCTTCTGTATGTTTAATATTTGCAGTATTTTAGTTTTTGCCCTTTTTACTCAATTTCTAGAAAAAAACTGCATGAGTTTAAATTGGCAATTTTTCACATTTTCCACTTTTCTTTTGACAACAATTCTTCCCTTTTGTGTTTTGTTCAATAATACGATTCTTGATCGAATCGTTTCCATCTATTTCCATCTGTATCTATACAATGCGCCACAATTTTTTTTCACTTTTCCCGAGCTGTGTTTGCAGTTGAATGAAACATGAACACCGAACGCCCGAGACTCAAGAGAGTATATATGGTTATACGAGTCTAGCGACGGAAATATGAATCAAACATCGATTTCGTGTTGCATTTCGCTTACATTTTGTGTAAATTCTCCACAGCGTGGCATCTCGACGGCGATATATCACAAGCGAACTATGTGTCCATGTCATCCGCGGCGGAATGGCAAAATGCATAAATCAAAGTATCAACCATTCAAAACGCCAACCGAGACGTTTTGCAACCGGTTTGAAACGCTATTAGAATTTGCCCCAATATATCGAGAGATAAAAATAACATTTGTGTTAAATTGAAGTTTTTTTCTTCTTTCCTTCATGAATATTTTGCAAACATTTGATTGTCGTTATCATATTCTGGATTTTTTTATTCTTTCTTTCAAATAACGTGTTAGTATGCGTTTATTTTTGGTCCGGGTTTGGGTGTCGAATCGTTTAGACATGATTAGGACCTCTTCGCATCACAGTAATGTATCGGCCACCCGCCGTGATGAAGATTGATAATGCACTCGCACGTTTTTGAGCCTAGCCTGCCTCCGCTCTGGTGAGCATCCCTCTCGCAAGTGTTTTTTATTCCATCAATTTTGCGAGCGCACCTGATGACTGTCGCAGCTTTCGTTTTTTTTTATTTTCATAAATTACCGATTAATCTGTTGGTGCAATCGTGTCGATACTCATTGCCATCTGTTCACAAATAAAAGTATTTCATTCAAATATTCGATAAACGATATTTAATTTGAAAATTAATGAAATTTGCAAATTTTTATTCAAGGGAATAAAAGTGAAATATTAAATTTTTTTGTTTGTATAATGAAACGACAAATTAGTATTTTGATGTTATGCAACGACATGGCTTCAAGGGCTAACGTTTTATTGCTGTCGGTACACATTAAGTGGCTGATAAGACGTCAAACATCAAACATCACGTTTGTGTATCTTGATGTAACATTACAATGCTATAATAAATGTAGAAGATACCAACTTTACTGCTGTATTAAATTATTTATTATATAGGCAAAACTTAAATTAACGCCATCTATCTCCAAATAATAAATAAATAAATAATCATTTTTGCAATACATCTCTCCAAATTATCCAATAACCACGCTTGATTATGATAACTTTAATTTTTAGTTTTTTATCTGATTAAAATTCACTTGCCACAATTCGATGTGGTCCAAATGGCACATCTGAAGAGATGCGAACAGATGATACGTATCATCATATCATCACACAATGTTTACATCTCTCTTTCTATGATTGTATCGTTTTTATCGTCGCATCATCACGCATCGCCTCGTGTGGTGCTAATATTCATATTTCACGCCACGTTAGATACGTCCAGAGTGTTGGCAATCCTTGGTTCTATCCGGAAGGGTAACCCCTCGTCATCTATGTCTCCTGTAGATACAACATTCTGACGCCTTCGTTCCCCATTCCCTTGCGAATGTAACAATCACCCTTTTCATAATTTTAATGGCAGCGCAGTGCACAGTTGCAACGCTCCAGTAAGTTTACAAGTGCAATGCATTCGAAGGGGTTGCACCAAGGGTGCATTGTTGTACTATTAGCAAGTGACCCAAAAGATTACCCATCGGGGAACAATAAAGTTCATCAATTACGTTTAAGGTTTGCCTCAAAACCAAATTTTTAATTTAAATATTTATCTTCAAATGGAATTTTTTTGGATGGAAATAAACTCTTAAAATTACATCATTTTTTGGCAATTAGGATCATAGAAAACAGTAGCTTATTTGAAAAAAACTAATGACTCGTCAATTTTATCACATTAATTTTTTTTGCCAACCGCCATTATCAAGTGTTCAGCCTTTGTAATACAAATTAATTGAAAGGAATTACTGCGGGCATTACGCAAGCTTAGCGGTAGTACTTGTAAGATATCACCATTATCACAGCGCCTTTGATTTTCGCCGATGGATCGATGACGACAATCCGATTAAAACCATTAGTCAATAACACTTTAGGAAAAAAATGTTATCATTTTCAAATCAAATATTGATTAACTGATATCTTCATACTAGCTACATTCAAATTCAATATACAAACTTATAATAAATTAAATATACCTAATAATTTATTTTTAATTTGTTTCTAATTATTAAAAAAAATTAAACAAATATTGAACTAAAATGTATTTGATATGTTTTTTGTAATGTGCTTATGGAGATATTTGAATTCCAATTCTGTTGGCCCTGTTGGATTGTCGTTGCGGCGTCTGGCGAGTTGCGCGGCGTCGTCGCACCGCCATGTTGGGCGCACGTCGCGCGCCACGCGGGAGCCACTCCTATCCCTGCTACTGGCCGATAAACAGTTATCTATATAGGCGGAGTTTGCCTGGATTTTGATTGACATCTTGTGATAACGCGAGGCACTTGTTCGGGAGTATGTTTTATTTCGATGCTGCTTCATTCATTTCCTTCCAACTCGTACGCGTCCCTGTTTGTCACCTTCGTCTCTCCTCTGATACCCGCATGAGTTGGGTTTTTCTATTTTCCGCAGGTTGCCACTTTCATTTTTTGCATCGCTTAACTTTGAGCGCGCGCCGCTTGCCGGGAAAATTGATTCCGTCAAGCACGTTGTTGCACCTTCGCAACCCTAAATCCCTAAAAAAACCCTAAACCTATCAAGCCTCTACTGCGATATAGAGATATTTTCTCTATAAAGAGATGAATTCAATATTTTTCTGTTCTATTTGGTTCAAGTTGAAGAAGACGCATTATTGATATTTTTCTGCCTGAACGAGTTGGAAAGTAATTTGCTGGAGTCCTGAATAGTGGGATGGTGCTCCCTTTGGGAGAGAGACCTTCTCCGGCAGTCTAGACGATTTTTACGACGCCTTTTTTGGCCTGCCTAGTTCACAACCCGCTCACATTTGCTATTCTCCTGCATGTGTATGTGTACGTACTTACTCAAGGTTTGCAAGCCCTCTTATAACTTTTCATCCGGCAGTTTACTAAAATAAATTTTCTTCTTACACCTTCGGTTTGCACCGAGAGAAAAAAGCACACTTTTCACGAGCAAACATAAACTTTAGAATTTCTTCATGTGAAAGCTCTGCGCAAGCCAATCTCTCCTAGGAGGCATTATTTTTGATATTGTGAGTTGGGCCGAACCCTTGCGGCACAAATCAATTTATTGCGCGAGCTCTTTAGGCGTTATTTGTTTCCTCGCCGGAACGTGAAGAAAAAGGGCACGAGGTCGTCCCTGAGTGGATTTGCTTTATCTTGCTTCGAAAAACCAGCATCCACCGCGGCCAACAGGTACTTTACCTCAATAAAACCTCAAACCACAAACCTCAAAACGCCAAAAACTTGAGCAACCAGCCTTGATTCAACGCCAGTTCCAAGTTCAGCTTTTGATAAGAGTCAGGGACGTCATAAATCATATCAAGATGGATGAGGCATTAAGAACTGGTAAATAAACATAAGGACTCACAGATCCTAAATCAATATAATAAAATCGCGACCATCGACTGAAGCCCGCAAAGCTGATCTAACAGAGTTTGGTGGTAGTATTCGATCAGCGGGTTGCTTCAATGAGTGATTCCGTGACTTAGCGCCCGACAGGGTGGGTCCGCGTCGATACACGCGGCATCCCCAAAACACGGTATCAGATAAGGATAGATAAAACGACGCGGCAACGCATGCTCGCCGCGTGGGCGTGCCAACCAGGACATGTTGGATGCCGGTCTCGCCTTGTGCGAGTGAGTTCAACTTATAGCCAACATTTAGGCTAAAATAGGACGACTGTTCGGAGCACACGAAGCGCCTCGATGGCGACCGAAGTTGTCGGTGGGAGTGAACACCAACGCGGGATGCCCGACGCACGGCCCGGCGATGATATATAGAGTATCCCGACTTACGGTTAAACCGCGCTGGGAAGTGGCCCAGATTACAGAGACTTTGCGAGAGCATCAAGCGCCCCCCGATATCTGTGCGGTCCGCTAAGCGCTTAAGACTTTTTAATACTTTCATAGGATTTCTGCGTGAAACCTCGCGCGGCGACGAAGGCGATCTCGTGTGCAGCCGTCGCCGAGACGGGAGCCGGGAGTCGTCAGTGATTTGTAAGCCGCTTGCCGCCGGCGGAGCCGCCACCGATGACGTTCGGGGATTTGCACCTGCAGGAATCATACAAGTGCCCTGTGTGGTGAATTTTTTGCACAAACTATCCAAGCAAGAAAGAAACTGACTGTCGTCGACTGAAAGTGAAACGTGTGCAAAGTGGGTCTGTGATCATCCGACGGGGAGCTGCTTATCAAACCATCCGACGGCAGCCGATACTCAGAATACTCAAAATACCAAAGATTTGAAACGTTAATATTATCATCAGTATCAAGAAATTAAGTCATTAGAGATTATAAATGAGGTAAGCACAAAATTTGTCATTTTTTACTAATCATCAAAATTTCTAACTTATTGCTTATTAAATTAAAAACCTAGTTAAATTGTCAAAAAGCTGGATTAAAATCAACATAAATAAATACGAGACCATTACATGAAGATAAAAATTATAAAATTATGTTATTCGTTAAATTTTGGCACGTTACAAGTAAAAAATGAAAAGAATTAAATTTTGGTGGATGCGCCCGATGTGGAATATTCGCATCCGTCGCACGCAGTACGCTCGCAATGGCACGGTAGATGGCCAATGGTGGGGGTAGAAGGGGGATGATGGAAAAGCCGCGGCGGGCTTAGCCCCGGGCGCCGCAAAGCCGTCCTCAGACCGACGCCGGCACCGTCGCGACGTCGCTCCGCACCGCTCGCCGAACGAGCCGCCGCCACGCGCTCCCAGTGATCCGCTCTAAACCGGGCGCAAAGCTGTTTTTAAGCTCCGGCGCCGGTACTTTTTTCCCGCCGCCTGCCCGCGAAGGCTCACCTGGATTTGCTTACGCGATCTCTTCGCCGATCCCCGAAATCTCGCGCGCTGATTTCGCTAACTGATTTGTGACCAGACATCATCAGATACTTCCTGTAAAGACCTTACAATACCCTAAAGATCTGATAAACTCATATGCATGAAGCAAAATAGTTTGTGTGGCAGTTAATGTTGATATTTATTTTGGGTTGAATGAAAACCCGGTGCTTTAACAAAAACAACTTGTTTCAGATTAAATTGCTGCTATAAGTGATATAAACAGTGATTACATACGGGTTATAGAACTGCAAACAATTGAACTAAAAATAAACTTTTGTGATACAAAGCGTCAAAATTGCGCTAACACGCGAAGAATTCATGAATTGTGCGCCGAGGAGAATCGACATGGAGCGGATGGAATCACTGACGGATCCGTCGCTCTGTCTGCAGGACCTCGTCTCGACATCGACGGCAAACAGCGATCATCTGCATGGCGTGCATCATCTACACGATTCTGTCACTTCGGTGTCGGTGAGTTCAGCCATTTCGGGCATCATGAGTGGGACCTCTTCTGTTTTGGGTCATCACCTTACGTCGCATCATGACCCTCATCACCATGGGGTTGTACCGCACACACCGTCACTGCATCATGAACCTTTGGAGAAATTAAAACGTGAGTAACTCATACAATTTCGCAAATTATTTTGTAATTTATGGCTTGTTTTTTACTCGTGTAATTTATTGATAATTTGGCTAAAATTGAGCGCCTACCGGGGTGAACGGAATTTAATTAATGTCCAATTTGGGCGCCCAATGTACGTGCATGTTGATATTGATAATAATTCATCGCCCAATTGATAACCGCGACACTCGAAGCAGGCTGAAATATTAATTATTTTTAGCTTCCTACGTACTTGATTGCCATTGAATTAGAAAATTAATCGGTAATTTTCTACTATCTTATTGCAATTTAAAAGAATATAATTCACAATAATAAAATCATTGATAACATTTAAGTTATATTAATGTATAATCATGCAATAGAAATAATTTCTAATGGTTGATATTACCTTGATACGGCAGATGACATCTGACATAATGTCCCATGTTGATTTGCTGATATCAAAACTCTGTTTAATCTAAACTATTCTCCCACAGACATTTTTGTTTGTTGTCTGCATTGTCCCATAACGCACTTCTAATTTTCGGCAATATCTCTTATTTGCGCGCAGCTTATCTGATATTGACGCGGTGGAAAAATGCCAAAATGCGACACGAATAATTTTATTACACGTTTATCAGCCGTTATCGCTAACAACCGTTGGTGGTTTTGTATTAATTATAATTTTCGGTGCTATTACTTTACGACCACGCATCAATATGATAATACATAGTGTGATTGCATTCGTACGTTGTAAAGTCATAAATTCATTTGGAGGTTCATAAAACAAGCGCCACGATTCTTTTTAGATACAATATGCGATATAAAATGTATTAAGCTGAGTAATTGTCTAAGTATTTACATTGTTATCATGTGTATCAATGTATGTTGGAAGTAAAAGTCATCTTAAAACTACAAATCGGAATTTATTAAGTGTTTGCAGAAATAACTTGGCCATAATTTACGATTGCGTTATTTTAACATTATCTCCTTTAAATATAAACAAAATAGAGTAAAATACATACTTATCATCTCTTTAGACACTTGAATGAATAAAAACTTTCATTGAAACGTGTTTCAGGTAGCGTAAAATTAAGTTTTAAATTGTTTTGGGATTATTTAAGCATTTTAAACTCATTTAAATCAATACTTCAAATCAAGTACACTTATATTTAAATTGTAAAAATAATTCATATTGTTTTCATGTTTGAAACTAGTTAAAATGATAATTTTAAGCCAAATTATCAACATGAACATTAATATTAAACCTAATGGAACCCGAATTAGGCCTTATGCATTTGTTGACACAATCGAGTAATGGTTGACAACTTCTTATCAGTGTTTGACATTCATATCAGTAGATCGTCAGTGGGGCATCAAAGAGATATCTCTGATTCAATTAGGGGACGCCTATTTTCAGTACGCGTCCATATGTCACAAAACAAGCAAACTTTCAATGTTTAATACCGTGAAATAATGATTTGGAATTATTTTGATTTCATGTTATAAACAAAACCTGGAATTGATATAATTATGATTGGGTTTGAATCTGAAGCAAAAGAGCAATTTGGGTTTGCACCCCAATCGTCTATTATTATTGGTTGCCTCAATATAACCGCTTAGAAAGTCACCCCTCTAGCCCTACACGACAAAACATGATGCGGCGGATGCACAAAACAACATTATGTTTGCACCGTATGTCTTTCTCACCCTGCGCCTATTATTCTATCTTTTTTGACCTTGCTACTGTTTTTCAATGTATTATCATTGTCAGTCTTGTGGTTGAAGAATAATATCGTTTGCACGTCTAGGAAACAAAGTTCAATTGTGCGAAAACTAAGGTAACGCGCCCATTCGCGCCTTTTCTCCAGAAAGAGAAAGTCAATAAACTTTGTTGAGCATGTCAAAGCGCATTTTGGCCATGCTGAGGTAAATACCTATTCGAACCCCACGGATAAGAACAGAAACAGAGTGAATTGTAGGTTGAATGCAACAGAATGAAAACGAACAGTGCCTGAAACGGCAGAAACGGCTGGAGAAAGTTGATGGCGAAGCGGGCTTAGGTTTAGCAGTGAGCAACCCTTTCCTGCTTTTATCGCAAAATTGGAATTGTAATAGCGGGCGGAAAGTGAGCGCTCGAGCTTGCCGGGTTAACCAGGATAATCCGCACTTCCTTACTCTGCCGGCTGCCCTCATCGTTATTTTCGACTCAATATTAAACCCTTTCCGAAAGCTTTCGAGAAGTAAAAGCAATTACAATTTTGGGGGACAATTTTCAAATTGATCAAAATTTTGCTCGCACATCTGTTCGGGTGGGTTACCCAGCAATAACTAGAACAATGAAATAACATTTAACTTTTTTCCCGTTTCCTGCGAGGATATATATTTAAATCTTCACGAGTGTTTTCGGAAAAGTCACGTACCTACGACATTTTTTACACATACAAAATATTTTTCTTTTTATAAATCTTCATGAAATGAAATTTTTGCTAAAAATGCAATCAAATGTTGTTTTTCTCATTCTTTCCTTGTTTGCTTTCCATTCTCGAGCTGAGTTGAGTTAATCTTTACAAAGCACGCATCTCACTGGCATTCAGCCAGTATGCACTGTACTGACGAAGATTTTAAAAGAGTCTTGAAACATGGGAGGGAATTAATAAGTGGGACGTTTTGGAATTTTTGTGAAATTAGTTGAACAATTTGTCGCATTGGCGACCTCCAACAAGATGACGATATGCCTCATCGCATTCGTAAGAACTTGAAACTCGACACTACTATCTTTGGATGTGACACATCTTCATTTTATTTTATTTGCATCTGGAAGTAAAATAAGAAATAAAGCATGGTTCTCTGGTTCATAGGGTCTTCGCGCTTTTTATGTCTAACACATTTCATGTGTGTAAATTTGTTTACAGGATGTTTGGGAACGCCCCATACCGAAAATCTGTGTTCACGATTCGCTGTCTCTTTGACTTTGATGTGCTTGTTTTACTCGTTTTGGTGTGGTGTGTAAATCCTTGCAAATATCTGGATTTTGGCTGAAAGTAAAAGTGACACATTTCGATAATAAATTAGTCGTCATAAATCAATACAATCTGAGAAATATTTAGAACAACACAAAGAAAGATCTAAAGAATACTAAATTTGGGCAAAATAAACAAAAACGTAAAAATTATTTTTGCTAATAAATTTTTAATCCGTGTTAAGTACGTTGAGTTGAGTGAAAATTTGAGTAAAATTATTATATAAATTTCTCTTTGAAGCGTTTATTCTTTGCATACGTCGGGAATACTTGTATGCTGTCTTTCGACATCGTTTAGCGAAGAATCCCGGTGAGTCGGAAGCATTTTGCGGAATAAGGCGTGACAAGAAATGCGCCCGCGAGCATTAATTCCTCTTAGATCGGGCTTACGGCGCGTAATGCGCGCAGATTAAAGGGGGATCATTAAAATTATGCTCAGGGAATTATGGTATAAAACTTGATAGCGCATCGAAGATTATCCAGGATCAGGTCTTGTTTAAGAAAGCTTTCGTCCCGATTTGCCTTCCTACGAGTACATCTATATCACACATCCAACCTAGAGGAAACACTTGGTAAAAAGTGGAAGCAAATTAATTGTTATCACTCGATTAAACGCATCACAATTATCACACGTAAATCTTAGCTCTTGAATGTATATTTATTTAATGGTAAGCTGAGATATAATTTTGGTAATTTCAGTGATTCAGGGATTTGTTCTGTTTGTTAGTTTGATTTTGCTCAAAGCTGGGTGTGTGAGGTTATAGTTAATGGCGGTTTGGTGGAATATGAAAATAGAATGTTGCACGCCACCTGGCCAATATCTGCCTGACTGATAAATGACTTCCAGCGTAAGCCGGTTGGACTCGGAGGAGGAAGGCCAGATTAAGGGTAGGCTTAGTGGACGTGTCGCGACGCAAGCTCGGGAATCATCCGGAAGAGTCAAACCAAACCAACTCTACTTTTACTCATGAATTGTAAACGTGTTGCATCTTTATTTTACTCTTCAACATTCAAAAATTGAATTTTAATCCCCGGAATTCAATTTTGGGAGGTCTTCTTTCTGGTAGTGGTTTTTTCTTTCTTTTTTCTATGAATTGGCGCATCGAGGCATCAAATATCACACGTGTCACAAGAATGTGAACGGGCGTGTGTGGCGGACAGGTTCGCTGATGTTGGAAGGGTGCCTTGCCATGAATATGGTTATAATGGTTATAATAGCGTCGGCGAATCGGAATAATTCGCTAATCTATGGTGTCATAACTAAACGTGCTGGCGGCTCCCTCCAACTTCCAACTGCTCTGCTTGCGTTCCAGGGCTGCGCACCCCGCGTCCAATATTCCGCTCCCGTTTGCTGCTCCCGTTTCTCCCATCGACACTTGCGAAATTCTCATGCAATTTTGCACGCCCCTCAAAGGCCTTTGTATTTCTTCCCGCTACTTCTATCTCTTTTTTCTTGGAAGGAAATAGTATGCCACAGAGAGAACAAAATAGATGTTACATTATAAGACGGAGCATAACGTTATGTTTGGCGAAGTTCAGAAGACGTATAAAAAATATAAGACGTGGCAAACATCAAGGACATTCATCCGAGATGGATGAAAATGAGAATTGAAGCAATGTTTCTCGTGCCTTTGCCGTCGAGCAGGAAGAAAAACGTAAGCCATTGGCAACGCAAGTAGCACAGCATCTTTTTTGCATATCGTTCGTTGAGCGTGAAGCGAACTGATAAATTATGCGTGAAGTGTTTTACAAAACGAAAAAAAAAAGCGAATGAGTTTCATCATTCATCATTTTCCCATCGCGCCCACATCGGTTTGGAAGGGGAGCGATTTTCCATTGTGTTCTGTTTTCTGTCACTGACGAATTAATCATACGCAATTCTTTCGAAAACAATTCGAAATTATTGATTTCATAAATAAAATAATGTTGATTTTGGCAACATTTTACTCTGTTCACAATAGAATTATTTTGTGCAATTCATGCTGTGACATTTAAATAAAACTTCCGCGTTTCAAGTTCACGACGCAAACCTTTCGCACTATTATCACGAGGAAAACAAATCATAAACCATTTCATTGCACTTGATATTTTATGTAAGACATCATAAAACAATAAAATGAAACCGAAAGATAATGAACGCTAGACTATGTCCTCGTGCCCTCCATCAAACCGCATCTCTTCACATCACACCTTCAAGAAGACATCGAGTTTGTGCTCGGCCTCGATAAAGAACATAACATAACATCTTATGATGTAAACAAACCAAGTCCTACATTTATTTCGGTGAGGGCTAGACTCGTTTACACTACAAATGTAACCGAATAACGAGATAAAATAGACCCATGAGCAAATACGTAATACGTTGTTTAAACATTTATTAAGCATTCGTTAGAATAAATACACAGTGCACGCGATTACAGCCGCAACAAAATTATATCATTTTTACACCTGTGGTCCTCGTGTGGGATGGATACTGGTGCACCTCCACCCGCTCGTAATTTTTTCTCTCTGATTACGTAACGAGTTTGTCTTTTTGTTTGTGTGGGCATCATAAAATGTTATTCGCCGCGTCGGAAAAGTGAGTCCGATCGAGAATACGAAGCGTGTCACGCGTGATAATTTGATAATTAAATAAATGTTAAGCCGTGGACCTGCGTGGAGAGTAGAAGAACATTAAAGATGGTGAAATGTGTGCGGTGGATTTAAGGCGATAGGACAAACTAAATAAAAAAAATACGTTGATGAGGGATTAACAACAAGGGATTTGGAAAGACGCACGTGGTCCACAAAAATGTAAATATTAAAGGTTAATACCTACGCACACTTAGCAAAAGAATTTCGAATTTATTTTAAACTAGGATAAAATTAAATTTTGTGCATACTTGATCCCAATTTATTTGTTATATTAAAAGTATCCTTGATGCAACTAAAACGGAAGTCTTGGCAATCGATTTAGTTTATTCTTGTTTTATTAATAAAAACGGAATTTAAATTCTTCTGATTAAAATACATTTCCAACATAAATAAGAAATGCGCGGCAGAATTTTTGGATAAAACTAAACAAACGACTGTTGCACTTCTTCCAACTTTTAAATAAATAAATAATGTGCGGTCGTCGTAACGACTTCACCTCTTCGCGGGCCAAGCGTTGGAAATTTATGAAAATTTATTTTATATCTACCAAAACAACCATACAGTATCCAAGGTTTTCTCTAACGCAACTTGCATCAACACACTGCACCGTATACGCTGTTTTCTCTTCCTCGGATGTCTAATGTCTGCGCCGGAGACGTCCCGACGCCGATAAATTAGGCTTGTAAAACTGTCGCGGACCATAAGGTAGTCGATAAATCTTCGCCGTGAGCTTTAAAGCGACGCACACGCATGCCAGGCAAAGATGTGAGCCGAGCAAAGATGTTAACTGCTCACTTCGGTGATGATGGCATATAAATCGCTGCGGCGTTACAACGTGTTTAGCGCTCAATTAGTAGACGCCTTGGAGCGGCTAACTAACTGGCGAGGAACTACGAAACGTCGAGTACCTACATGTCGTTTTGTGCGTTTTATCGGACGAGAGCCATTTCATCGCTTTGTTTGTTGTTTTGTTGTCGTTTAAGATTGCTGCCGAATGTGAACAGTATCTATTTATGTTCTGACAGTTAACTTAATCACGCGGACTGCATGGTGCAACTTACAAAACATCCAAATGTGTAAAACATTGAGATTAATTGTATTGTTTTATAATTTACAGTTTGGGCCGAGACTGGAGACTTCCGCGATGCGCATTCCGGGATGACCGGAGGTGGTAGCATGGATCATCCACAACTTCCATTTCCTACTGCAGCGAGGAGTAGAACGAGAGAACGAAAAGGTAAAAAATATTTATAAAATCAATTGTTAAGCCAAATATTTGGAAAGGTTCTGTTTCACCTTACAACCAGTGTTTGCATTTTTTTTTTCAACGTATAAATTTTTATACTGTGTACGTCGAGACTGCTAGGGTAGTCGGTTGGATGAAAATTTTAATCAAAACGCGTCTGGCAACGTGCGGAAAATTGAGAAAACCTTTTAGCTCAACATTGCGCTCGTGAAAGAAATACGAAAAATCTGAGCGTTGGTCTACGCGAAAAGGACCGCCATGACAAAGAACGACCCTCGACATACTCGAGATTCCACCTACTCAGACAATCCTACAAAAAAGGTTATTTGAGGAAGAAATTTTATGATTTAAACGACATCGCCATACAAAATTCATTCTACCAAAAATTAAAAATCACACGTTTGAAAAACTGCTCTTTTTGGCACAGAGTCTATAATCAATTGAGTTGGTAATAACGATTTATGATTATTACCAATTTATTGACTCCTAACCTTTTATTTTTTCACATTTTATCTTCATTTATATGAGTTAGGTGCCTTTCTCTGCTTTTATTTTATTAACCACACATTATAATCAATACAAATGACACTCAGCAAATTAATTAATGCATCGATAAAAATATTTCAATTGATTTGTCACAAGCGATTATTTATGATTTGCACATAAATCATGTATATAGATATTTGCATTCGGACGCAATTAAACAGACGCGAATAATCATTATCAGTAGTGAGGCACACAGAACGGATTATATTGGTGATAAAACTCGATGCTTCTTTTGCGCTTCAATTTTTGTGCGCATGTCAGCAATGATGATAACACAACGGTTCGACTCACGACTGCCTGGAGGTCTGGAGAGCAAACGAATGATAAGCGCATTTCAAACGGGTGCCGCCTTCGATCAATCATGGCTGATTTGACACCTTTGCCGATTCGTGTATGCCGACATCTCCACCTGTCATAATATGTACATTTACATGTGATAAAAAGTGCGGTTTATCGGTAAAACGTTTTTGGAGGCGGTCACGGAGTTTTAGATAATGGCGTAATTCGTATACTTGAAAATACTTCAATTTTTGCAATGTTTAAATCATTTTAGTATTATTTGATTACATTGCAAAATAATTTTAGAAATTTCGAAAAAATAATTATTACCTAGAATAGTTTATGACAAATATTCGACAAATTTTGAGAAGTGTTTGCTGTGTAATCATACTTCCATATAAGTGATTTTTTATGTGTCAAACTTCAGTTCTCACAATCCTATAGTATTCTGGGATTAAAGTAATTTACGACTCGCGCGCATGCTCGTGTTTTCTTACTGGCGTCGCGCGTAATTTGTAAAAGGTAATAACCGTTTAACAAGGAAGCGAAATAACGGTCGATTTTCCACTAAATTTATTTAATCCACACGTGCTCGGATAATTATTTAAAGACGCCGTCTTCTCGTCTAATCTGGAAATAACTAACACGCGAGGAGGAGAGCGCGTTCGGGCTTAAAGTTCTCGCTTCCTCTGCTTCGTTGGCTCATTCTGTGATTTTCAAATACACTTTCTGAGTCGCTGAGGTGGTGCTTGATCTGCTCGGTGCGCTTCCACGCTCATTTTGCTATTTTATTCTATTCCACATCGTTAGTTACACTCAAAGGTGGTGCAAAACGTTGCCAGTGAAACGGGTGCAAGATGCAAGCGTAAGCCCTTAGTGCAGCATGCTCAACGCTCGCGGTTTCTTTCATAAATTCCTTCATCATAATCCTTGTAATCCCGCGCGGTGCACTAAAATAGAACGCCTCGACGGCGCGCACTACTTATCAAGAGGACGCTTCTTCCTTTCGGCGCAACGCTTCACACGTTTCGTGGCTTTTTTATCGGAGACGACTTAGTCCCGGTGTTTCCGTCTTAAGCGACTTAACCGGGAGCTATCATTCGAAAAAGTCCAAAAAGCAACTATCAACTTTTCAAGTTTACAGCTATTTTTAACCCCGGCTTGCCATATAGGTATACAAATAACACTCTTGTGTTTCTATTTTTGCAGCAAGCAGATCTTTGAGTGATCCGGTAAAGACAGAACAGGTTGGCGTGGACAACGGCGACAGTGAAGAAGGCAAGAATGATAAGAAGTCAAAACGTCAGCGTAGACAACGCACGCACTTTACTTCTCAGCAGCTTCAGGAACTGGAAGCTACTTTTGCGCGGAATCGTTATCCTGATATGAGCACCAGGGAAGAGATTGCAATGTGGACGAATTTAACAGAAGCCAGAGTCAGAGTAAGTCAATTTTTCAAGTAATTTATTTTATTACAAGAAATTGTTGGCCATTAAACCGAGATTTTTAAAGCGAGATTAATTGATGATTAAATACTAGAGCTTTTGTTAGTCGTAAACTTTTTACGACGCCCATGATATGTTTGACGAGTTAATACACTTAAAAATACATTTAATTATTTATTTTCCTTCTGGTTAACCAAAAGAAAAACATCGGTTGTGATTTTGAATAATTTCGTTAGCACACATCTTAATTCGTATTAGGACGTTTATGTTGAGGGTGCGGTGTGTGCAAGTGGGTCTCATGACACCCTCAATTAACTGCTTAACTGGGGGGAACATGTGTTTCCTGATACATTTACAAATAGGTACGTTTATCAGAAGTAATGAATTATGTTTAGGACTATCTAAACTTTCTCCGATTTTTCGTTGAATTTTTTGACATTTTAAGTAAAGTAATATTCGACGTGGGTCGTGACCAGCGTTGGTAAATTTGGCGAATCACACTGGCAGCTTTTGGCCACGCAGTGGCGAGGACTTTGCGTTTAATTAAAGATCCCGCCGGCTTACTGTGCCTCCGGTTTCGGTTAATTAAAAGTTTGTTGCCGGCGTCCGGACTCGTCGACGTGGTGGTGTCGAGCCAGTGCGATGCACGCGATGCGGACGTGAGTTATGATTATTAAACTGTGAATATAAATAAAGCACCTGCAAAAGCTCCCCGAAAAACCGGCACAACAAACAAGAATAAATAGCAACAAAAATAACCAAATTAAAATGGCGTAACTTTGAATTAGAAACTGCAAAATATGAAATTTTTTTCCGCAGTTTCTGTGTTCTAGGAAGTATTGTTTGAAAAAAAGAGAGTAGAGTTTGAGGAAATATATCGGGGCGCAGCATTCTCGCGTGCGTGTGCGTTTTGTAAATCTGGCTTAATATCTTAATTAGTAAATCGTCCGCGATGCGCCCGCCGGGAGCACGGGCGGAGAGAAATTTCGGGGGAGAACTACGTCGTATTGATCCGGAGCGCGCGCGTGAAGGGAGAAGCGAGTTGGCCAACCGAACAGAGGCGGGTGCGAGGCACATGGCCGCCGTCGCCGCCACCAAGCACACCCCCGAATTGCAGAGGGACGGCGCGTTCCGTCGCATCCCCTTCACAAACGCAACCTTCAACATCAAAATCATACAGATTGTAGCATAAAATAATGAATATTGTGCTGAACAACAAAAATCCTCTTAAAATTATCCATAAAATATAAAATTTATTATTTAAAATCAATTCAATTAAATTTAACTAACATTTTGATAGAGTGCGAATATTGTAGGGGTTTAGGTTCTTTAGCAATGTTGTTTGCATGTACTTTGAATTTTTTGATTCTTGTTGAAAAAGTCTAAATCCATTCGAAAAGCTATGGACTTAAACAGGCTATAAATGCGGTCGTGTCGTTTGTTTCGCATCGCCAATGGTCGGAGTGCTGGATGCCGACTCGCTGTTTTTGCTCGCGTCGCGGCAAAGCGTATGGGTTTCGGAAAGTCTCTTCCAAAGCCTCCAAATGGCCATCATCTTCTTCGCACGGCCGGACCGAGATCCACTCCCATTCCGCGCTGATTTATTGCAACAACCTGCCCGGAGCGCTCGCGCACACATATCGATGTTGTTCTTTTCGGCGTTCTGGAATTACGCAGTTTTAGACATAACAACTTCAACAACAACATTTGGGCAAAAATTGGTGTATCAGATGACAACTTAAAGCACAAAAGTTTAAAATAATTTATAAAATGTATTGAAAACGAACAAAACAATGACAACAAAAATGATTTCCCAGAAGTTATTCTTATGATACTTACAAAACTTTATGAGTATGTTTTCTGTTCAATATCACACAGAAATTCTGATCAGCCTTTGTCAGATTCTGATCTGGCGGCATTTAACATCTCGTATCGATTACAAACGCATTGGTTGTGTGATGAGCGGACGCGACCGAAGCGCACCCCGCCTGGAAGATAAATGTTTGTTTGTTCAGGTATAGCGGCGCAGAGGCCCACAAATCGCGTCCTCAAACAGACAAACAACCACACCACAGAAGGTTCCGTGGATGGCGGCTACTTGAAAGCCTGCCGCTTGCTCGTTCGTCGCCCGAGTCTATCATAACGCTGAGCACATATCAAGAACACGTGTAAACCAACATTATAACATCTCCTTCAACAACTTAAAGATATGAGGATCAGATAAAACTACAAGAGTACACGCGTATAAGAGTAGGGATAAAATCATAAAGAAAATCGAATCGAGTTGATTTTAATTTTGAATTTAATTGGCGTGATATGTGGTCCACGTGTTCAACCGTGGTGTAAACGCGATATTAGATTAAAGTCGGGTGTGCAAGTCTGAGTAAGTCATTTAATGGTTAGTTTAATATCCCCCGACAAGTTTGTTTAAACGATTTAAGCGTCTCGCGTAGTACGCGTAGACTGGCCGGCGAAATCAGCATGTAAAGTGATTTATGCTAAGCTGGCACGCGGCCCTTTTCGGGTGCCCATTGTGCGCGGGCGTGCTGGCGAAAATCGGCGGACCCGATGGGTTACGCGTGTCGGCGGGGCGCCGCAATATATGAGCCATCCCGCTGGGCCCACAACACTTCCTGTTGCAAAATCTGGTTACCCCAAAAGTTAAGTTAGAAATTTGGACGGGATGCTTAATTACGGCGCACGCAAGTGGTCAAAATTGCAATTTTGCGAAAACATTACGCATCAGGTTATGATACATTGGTACGAGTATAGTCCATGCAAGCGTGCGGATATTTACTCTCGTAAATCAACGTTATGCGAAATGTTGTCGCGCCAGGGTTTAGATTGAGTTGGATTTCGGCTGGAATTGGTTTGATTTGGACTGTTGTGACCAGTGTTATTTATCTTCCGATTACAATGCGGCACCGACAGGTGCCTAAAGCGTCCGCGCGTTGTCGTGTCGCGAGCAAATATGTAATGTTGAATTACGGCGAGGCCGCACTTTAGGTCCCAACACCAAACCAAATTCTGTTCATGTATTGGTTCGAATATTGGAAATTGCGCACAATATCACAATAGAATGGAAATGCGCCCCGACTCGATGCAGTATTCTGCGCGCTGTGACTAGTAATGGAAATGAAATTGTTGTTATGGAGCGGCGGTGGGATTTCACGCGTTACCACAGATCATAGCTGGCGAATCTGTTGTCATTCGTTGCGATGCAGTCGGCAAACATGCGCCTGTTCGCAGTTAATTGTGATTAACAAACGACTTTGCACGGCCAATCGGTCTTAATCGAAATTAATGCATTTCCAACAACCAAGTAAACAAACCCGTTAGTATACAGCAGGTATAATAACATTATCACAGTGCTGCATATGCAAAATTTCTTGCCCTGCATGTTGCACAAGTAAAATCCCAAATGTCAATACATTTCTATCTGTGCATGGTCGGCTGGCGCTGGTGCGGGTGAATGTTTGTTGGGCCCGATGCAGACGCCCTGGATGCATAGATAGTTAATAATTCAGCGTGAGTAATGCTGGTCTCGGGCGGGCGTAGTTATTGTTTGCGCAGATAAATTGAGCATGTGCCAGCCGACGTTAGCCGCCCGAACGGGCTGGGATGCGTGGCCGCCTCCACCCGCCCCGAGAGTGGTCGCATGTTTGGGTGAATAGTCAGTGATGGCGATCTCGTTAATCCTGCCTAGATTTATGGTGTTAATCATACACGGATTAGCGTACCTGGGCCAACTAGCCACTCGCACCAGCAACGCCACCAACACCGGGTTTGCTCTAACTCCAAACTCCAATCAAGGGATGAGGTGCATCATGACACGTTCATCAATCGTAAAATATCACTTTTTGGAAAATCTAAATTAACTAGTATTAGCATCACAATATTAATTTGGTAGATGGTATAAAACATTTGTTTAGTAAGAGTAGCAATGGCCTCTTTGGAGCATAAGACAAATTACGACAGAACTGCTAAGCGACGTGGTGGAAAATCGACAGAATCGGTACGTCAAGCGGAAGCAATGGAGATTGGTGAGGTGGATGCTTGCTATCATACTCTAAAAGTCTATCAAGCAAGAAACCAGGGAACCAAGACTATGATAATCGACCCGGTTTAATAAAACACCAAAACCACGTTTCGACTACATTAATCTAACTTTGTATGCTAAAAATATTTTAGGAAAACTTTGGAATTCTCACCAAACAAAAATCAATTCCGGTCCAATTTATATTTATGTTATGCGATTCACATGCATGTGGTGATTTGAGAATCCAATGAAACAAATGAGCATTTAATGAGCAAATCGACACGCGTCGCATTCGCTTTACTCGTTGCCCACCCTAGAAGGAAACAGTACTGTATGCGAGGCAATAAGGAAGCCGAGCTGGGCATGTTAATCGCATTAGTCTCGCCGCACATTCACACGCCTCATTTACCAAGAAAACTGCCCCGGAATTCGGAAGGGGGATGATAAATAATGCGTGCGCGTGCCGTACATTCGTGCAACCAGCTCACAGGGGGTAATCAACATCCAGCTCACTTCCAATCTTCACGTCTTCATTTGTTTGTTTATATTGGGAGTACCTATATTCGGAGAGAATTTTTAAACTAGCGAATCAAATCAGTTTTTCTTGCTGCTGGAATCGATTTGTAACAAAACTTTCGATGGTTTTCGTTGGTTTTACGAAATGGGGAACATTTATTCGGTTGGCCAAGCGTGTGAACCAATGACGCGCACTTAACAGTATATAAATTAAGTAATTTGTATTAATTTCTGGCGTCCCCTCAGCGTGGGCCAACTGGTGAACGACAAAGTTGGCTTCGGTCCGTAATACTTTAGATAAGTTTCGACGTTTGCTACGCTTTTCTTTTCGGAATTTTGGAATTGAGTTTTCTTCTCCAATGTTCGGTTAACGGCGCTCCGGTTGATTGCTTCATTCGCTTCAGACGCTCGTTCGTCTTCATTCCAGGGTCTGCTGAGGCCAGGCTCGTGGCGCAATTAGATGGATCGTTGCTCACGCAGCAACTGCCCAACTTCCCATTCCTTTTTTGGTCAAAGCATTGAAACGGGTTTCTAATGGAAAATGACATCGCATTTATTTTCTGAAAATTGTAGTCTACTCATTTCATCATTTTAATCTTGATGTTTTTTTTATAAAATTTTATTTCATGTGTTTTCATTTTTGTTGCAGGTTTGGTTCAAGAATCGTCGTGCAAAATGGCGTAAACGCGAGCGTAACGCAATGAACGCTATGAATGCTGCAGCTGAATTCAAGACCGGTTTTGGGACGCAATTCAATGGTTTGATGCCCACTTTTGGCGATACAGACAGTTTGTATTCATCATACAGCTACAACAACTGGGCGACTAAGGTACCCAGTCCTCTTGGTGCAAAACCTTTCTGGCCGGTGGTTCCATCCAACCATCATCAAAGCCCAGTGAATTGCTTCAACGCTGCTACCTCAGTGGCGTCTATGTCGGGAGCGGCCAACTCCATGCTGCCCGGCACCATGGGAACAGGGTTATCGACCACACCAGGATCCGTCTCTGCTCAGCAGTGTCCCTATACCACGCCAACAAACCCCTACTCGATGTACCATCATCGGACGACGGCTGAACCTTGCACAGCGTCCAGTATCGCTTCGCTCCGTCTGAAGGCCAAACAACACACTGGATTCGTAGGTTATTCATCGGTCAGTCCGGTGCGTTCCAGTTCCGCTGGTCTTTCTGCGTGCCAATATGCCGGAAGCGGGATCGGTGTCAGCGAGAGACCTGGCTGAGAACACGAGCAGCCTCTCGGGGCCCAATGCAAGAGTGAAGACCAAGACGATTAATTTGCAATTAGGTACATCAAATTCAACGTACAATCATCAATATAAAAAACAGTGCATCATTAATCTTGGAATCTTCGAATCTTTGCGTAATTATTTTAAATTCTGTTAAAGAACTTCCCTTGGAACGAAACCTTAAAAACAAAAGTGTATATATAAATAGCCGTCAATAGTGTCAATGTGTTATGTTAATTTTGTCTAAGAGAAAACAGAACTCCATCGTGCTTTGTGTGCCATCTTTAGTAACTGTGAAACCAATTATGCCTAATTTGTGATCATTGATTTACGTAAGATTGACGAAAAAAGTTCCCAGTACAAATTAAGTATCAAGTAGCAACACCCGCACTAGAAAATCGCTTTACGAAAATGTCACCTTCGCAAGTGGATCACAGGGTACCAAAATGGTAAATGTCAAGATCTCAGGTTGCCTAAAATTATCCAAGAAAGGTGACATTTTCAAAATATTAAATTGAAGCAACCAAAAAAAGTGCAATGGCATACTATCAACTATCAATATCATTAAGTTTAATTAAACACTTGTGTAACTAATAAGTTTAGTAATACTAATGAATGTATATTATATGAAATTTGAATGAGATTTTTGCAACCGAAGTGAAATACTACGTATAAGTACCAATACCAAACCAAAACAAAACAGTCATACCAAAAATGAAATGAAAAGATGAGAAAGATCGGTCTAATAAATTTTTAGACTCTGATTCATTGTTTTTAGTACAAAGTATAAAATTGAAAAGGCTGCCAAGTGCAATGTATTATAAATCAGTCGAAATAATAATACAATTTTATCAATGCGAGGAATGCGAATGATAATGATATGAATGCGTTTTTACATTCAGTTTTGTTCGCAAGTACCTACATTATTCGTATTAAAAAAGAACATGATGAGAACATGATAAGGTAATATGATAATAATATATTTTAGCGAATGATTGTAATAATACATTTTAACGATACAATGATGATGAAATATCATATTTAGGCTCAAACAAAGAAATATCAAAATGGAACCGAAAGCAAAAAATTGTAAATATGTACTTAAAGTAATGTCAAAAGTGTCAAAATGTCAAGAAACCACGAAGATAAAAAGGAAAACGAAAAACAAACCACTAAGTAATAATTTAAATTAATAATATAAAGCCACAAAAAAATCGGAAATCCATCATACTCTGTGCATATCTATATTGTTTGTACTTGTTCAAACATTATTTCAGTCATCTAGTCACACAATAAAAAACAATTTAAAATATTGCCCATATGTTTTATTGTATGTAATTTTTAAAACAATTTCAGGATTTTTTTCAATTTAATTAGCATTTGGGGCAATCGATCATCAACAAAACAAAAGCGATAAAAAGAAAAACGCGAGGGTGAATTCGGGATGTAATTAATGACGAATTTAACGGCATCATCTGTTCGATCATGAATGCAAATCGTTTTGGTTTGCGATGAATGTGCGTACAATTCGCTTGAGACATTTATTAAGCAATTAAAATACACGCGACACATACACCCTCCGGCACCCCTTGTGAAGTTAATCACCTGTTTTATCATTGTCTTCTTTTTGCTGTCACTTTAGGGTTGTAACGTTTATTTAATTTTATTATTACATGCATTTTAAAGTAAAATTTTTTGTTGTAAAATTTTTAAATTTCAAATTTTGGAAATATTTGAATTAATTTTGTATCATTATGATAGATGAAGCGTAAACCCCAAACGATAATTTATACGCAAAGCATTGGGACTATTTACATCACAATAGTTGTTCCCCTCTCACTTAGAGCCTTTAGTTGACACCATATGCAGAATGATTTGACTTTGTTTCTTTTCAAATCTGTATTAGATTCGCGCTGTGGGTAATAAAGTGTCGGCGATTAATTATTTTGCACCCTTCCCATAATGGGAGCGACATGACAAAAGATACATTGAAACAATACCAAGGGTAGAGAAAAAATCTGAGAAAAGGAGGTAAGTGATATAAAACATGGAATCATACTGTGATAACAACATGTTATTTAATTGATTACATTTTTGGTTGAAACAATAATTTAACAAAACTTATTACATTTTCTTTTTATTTGTTTTATATATGTGGATGAAAATATTGCGTTACGCAATGTAATATTTTCTATGGTGAATTGGCAAACCACCCCGCTCCCAGATGTGACCGGGAGCTGATGTTAGTTGGGCTGGTCTGGTTGCAACGCATCAGCATTTTAACTATTATTATGCTGATGGCACCATGATAGCCGGATTACACTCGCAATAAAACCGAGCGCTGATACATATCAATGCAACCTCAATATGCTTCGCTCTTTTATTTATGACCCGCCGACTACCGGTGACAGCCGCCCTCCCATAGGATCCCCCGACAGACCTCCCTGCAGTCAGCATCCCTTGTAGAAGGAGGAGAAGCAGCAAAGATATTCGATTATATGTGGGCACAGTAGCAAGAACCGAGGAGGTTGAGCAATGTAGAGACCGAGAAAAAAGGGGGACGTATGAAATGGTATTCCATTGGCGTTCGTTACATCTACATGCTATGCATTTAAATAAATGTCGTTATTGTGTGGCATTACTTTATTAATCGCTTTTGCATATAAATCCGCAGCGGTTTAGATATATTAGTGCGTGTAATGTGATTCCAGACCCCAAATGGAAACATTTGTTTTCTAAACCATTCCAGTCTGAGCCATTTTAGGTCTCAAGAGAGAAATTTAAAAAAAATGTACAAGTTGCTATTGGGTCTTCACAAAAATATGCAAAATATGCAATCATCAATTTTGTCATTTTGTGGTACGTGAATAAACTCATAGTATACAGATAAACGGTACAAAAATATTGTGTTATCTAATAGATAACGACGATATGGATGGTAACACGACAACATTAAGCGAGTTTGGCCTCCGAATGGTAAAAGATTGCCGGGCGACGCAAGATGGAGTATATATCTTTAGAAGTGAGTCCGGGCGGATTGCAGGTTGAGAACCCGGACTAGCCTCGGAAGCTCGTGTAAAGCCCGGCCGCATTCGCCGCCGCCGCCGGCACGAAGAGAGTAATGTGTGCGCGCCGGGGATTCCGAGGTTTCGTTCGATGCGATCGTTTACTGCCCATGCGGCTCGATCAAAAACACGTTACGTTTTCAAATGAAGAAATATGAACTTTTAAAGAACACCCAACACAACTATGACTACATCTATAGTGCCTCAATAATTCATACTTTTTGTATGACATTCAGTTGTTATGCAATACTTTTCAAATTACAATTAAGTTAATTCTGAATTTGTGGAGTGCTGATTGAGCTCGGAAGTAATTTTGATTTGCGTGCTTAATAAATTACATTTCTTTTTGTTTCACAGCCCGGACGAGATGAAATTACCCGCCACTTTAAGTAAGGAATTTAATTAGTTAAAAGGAAGCGAAGAGCTTTCAAAAATGCTAAAAGGAACCGCATCCAATTTAAATGCACGAGGCGCTGGGCGCATTTGAATCCTTAATCCCTCTTTAACGAGCAATTTAAACTGGGTCCTTTTTGTCCCTCGGCGTTGTTCCTTTTTCTGCTTGGTATATTTTCTCGAGACGAAAGTGTCGTCGTTTGTTTCACGACCTATCAGATCAAAACTACAACGCAACTAAACTATAGTTACGCGATAAATTAAAACCGTCCAAAAATTTTATGAAATTTTAAAATGGAATTTAATTCAACGCGTTTTTATTTCATTTGATGCTTTCTAGTTTAACACGGTAAAATGTTATATTTTTCAGCAAATATTCAAAATTGGTTTCCTCTTTGCAGATCTCTCAACGTGGCGCTCAGTGTGCGCAATATGTTAAATGTAATTGCATTTGTGTGCGCCGCCCCCGATAGGTCCTGCGACCGCCCGTCCTCGTCTGCTCCGCGCTCTCCCCAAGCTTGTGTTAGTTTATTTTATATTCTGATCCGAATGTTTCTGAATGGGGGGATGAGCAAAAGGGAAGCCGTCGTTCCTCTCGCCCGGCAAGGCGTGGGTGTTCGGCTGTGCGTTTGTGTATGAGTGTGTGTCTGCCAGCCAGCGACGACTTCGTTCGCCCTTCGAAGTCGACGCGCGCTGGAAAATCCTTTAGTTTTCCCTGGCAATATTTTACTGGCCGGATGGAAGAGAACACACCGAGAGAAATAACGTGGGATTACCTCAGTGCGTTCCCCATGATTAGATTGTAAAATACTGGAAGTGACGTGTGCAAGGGTGGATAAATAAGACACATAAAACGGAAATGAAACAGATATAAAAATAGGAAAATGGCTGCCGTAAACTTCCGCCCGTTGGGCCTCTCACGCGTGCTTTTGCACGAAGTGAGGTTGGCGTGTTTTTCTTCTAAACTCTTGACAGTTCCGTTTTTGTTATAATAAAATTGACATGTCAATATGCAAAGAATTGTTTTGTTAACGTTTATTCGAATTGAAAATATTTTCAATATTTCAATTTTCCAACCCAATTTTATTCTTGTGTGATAGTTTAGATTAAGAAAATAGAAATTGGTTTAAATATGTTTCCCATGCGGTGAAGGCGTCACAAGGACACAAATTTTCCTAGAGGATCAAATGACTCGGAAGTAAAGCTCGAAGGACTTAGCCCGTCTTACAGTTGGCATATCCTAGTTATCTCGTTTTATCTCTCGTCCATGGCGCACCGCAACACTGCGTTTCGCATGCGGCGCTCGTTCGTTCATTCTTCGCGTCTACTTTCTAGCGAAACCAGCGAAAATGGCGTGTTTGTCTGCGCGCCTCCTTTGAACAAGAACTCCCTCATTCCGAGACGCGCGTTTGCTCCTTAGGCCAAAACCCGGAGATGCCAGGTGTCGCCGCTAAGCTCGCAGACGCTTCATTCGCTGCCGGATTTATCCACTGTCACTCTTTTACATCCAAAACTGGTCAATTGATTTCCCACGAGCTCCCTTAGACGATTGCCACCTTTGCCGTAGCTTTACCACCGCAAGCAGAGAAATGTCAGAGTTTAAGTTAGATCTTATTGCAATTTTCGGGGAGTTTCTCTAAAAGTATTAGCGAAAAATCCGAGGAATTTGGCTCTTGTTACTGCTTACAGGAACATTGATACATTGGACCAGTTGATATATTGATATTACAGCATGCCAATGCATTTCCAACCATTTTAAAACTTAGAGATACTTATCTATAGACTTTTCAAACTTTGAACGGTGTGATAAACAGATTCGCGCAGGCATGCGTGAATAACGAGCGGTTTGTTAGCTAAATCCGGTAACGATGGGTGGCGTTATCCGAAGGTATTTTTATTTCAATTTCGCGCGATTCTACCGGGCTTACTCTTAAATTAACACGGCATTTAGCCTTAATGGATTTTCGATATATTCATTCGATTATAACGATATTACCAATGCATACGGTCCATATTCACAGGTAATTTTCTATGACAAAAACATATTTTTAACAAAAAATCTATAACTCTTATTGTACTTTTTAAATTACACTTAACAAATATATTATTCTATACATGGGAAACAAAACATAGCAGTATAAAACCCAAGAATCAAAAGAAAAAGTATACATGTACGAGTACGTGGTGGAGGCAAATGTTCCTGCTTTGCATTCTTTTCCATTTGCCCAAACGCTACAGGTAGCTCATTCCGCCGTAATCACCTGAAAATTATACACCACATTACCTTTTCTACCATGAGCTCAACGTAACTGATCTTTTTGTTCGCTGAGCTTTGCGCGAGTACCGTCATACAAAGTAAGCGCTATCCTGAAAAAAAAAACGGATATGGTAAGATGTAATTCATGTGATTTTTTGATATACTGATTTGTAAAGCACTAAATAAGTTACAGTGGCTGATATGAAGTCCCATAGAACATCATGGCCGTATGAAAAATGAAAATAAATAAAACCCTGCATCATCCGAGTATCAACATCAACATCAAACCGAATGTGTGTTATTTGGATCTTGCGCAAAGCACCCCGAGAAGTGCTAAGGCATTGCTAAAGGTGGAACGTGTCGTGCGGCTCATAATTTCGTTTATGTTATGTTAAGATTACTTTTATGATAACATAAATCGACGCTTTCAGAAGTGGACAGTTTTATGATATTGCTCCGCTTGTTTGTCTATTCCTCGCGCATCACGCGCAGAGTCGACGGGAACTACACAATGAATTTACACTTCTTACATTTGGCATTGACATAGAATATTTTTATATTCCGTTCATCATACATATCATGATATTGATGATACTTTT